CCGCCCTGGTATCTACCCCCGTAACATGAAACTCGACTCGAGAACAGCTTCGTTCTACCACTCGAGGGCAAGTGAGCATCTCAATGGCCGCAAGGCAATTGTGCCCTGTGCCCATGTTTTGGGAGGTGGATCTTCAATCAATTTCATGGTTTGTTAACCTCTATCCTATATTCTTTTGAACGATTGTTGTACTAATAGTACTTCCTTTGTTGCTAGATGTATACGAGAGCTTCTGCTAGTGATTATGACGATTTCCAGGCGGAGGGATGGACCACAAAGGATTTGTTGCCGGTGATGAAGAAGGTAGGATATCATATATTCATAAATTAGAACCGTTTCTAATACTATATGCACTAGTTTGAAACCTACCAACGATCCAGCAATAACCGTGATGTTCACGGTTTCGACGGCCCAATCAAGGTTTCATTCGGCAACTACACGTACCCAATGACCCAAGATTTCCTCCGGGCTGCTGAATCGCAGGGTATCCCCATCACCGACGACCTCCAAGACCTTGATACCGCCCATGGGGCAGAGCACTGGTTGAAATGGATCAATCGTGATACCGGCCGCCGCAGTGATTCGGCCCACGCTTACATTCACAGCACCATGCGAAACCAAGGAAACCTCTTCCTCCAATGCAACACTAAGATCGACAAGGTCATCTTTGAGGGAAATAGGGCAGTCGGTATTCAAACACTCCCAACCAAACCACTTTCGCCAAGTCAGGTGGGTGAGAAGAGAATCTTTAGGGCAAGGAAGCAGATTGTTATCAGTTGTGGAACTATGAGCACCCCATTGGTTTTGCAGCGCAGTGGTATTGGTATGTACTATGTCTTCTTATTTAACAGGAGGCCAAGGCTAATCGTGTGGTATAGGTAACCCGGAGAAGTTGAAGAGAGTTGGTGTTAAGCCATTCATCAATCTTCCAGGAGTTGGAATGAACTTCCAGGTATGATATGAACCCAAAACGCACCTCACTCTATATTAATATATTCAATTCAGGACCATTACCTCACCTTTTCCGTATACCGTGCCAAACCCGACACAGAGACCTTCGATGACTTCCTCCGTGGCGACCCCAAGGTCCAGAAGGAAATTTTCGACCAGTGGAACCTGAACGGTACCGGTCCGCTTGCAACAAACGGAATTGATGCGGGAGTAAAGATCCGACCCACAGAAAAGGAACTTCAGGAAATGGGTCCAGAGTTCAGACAGGGCTGGGACTCATACTTCAAGAACAAGCCTGACAAGCCAGTCATGCACTATTCTTTGATTTCTGGGTATGAAATTATTCTAGGCCATCTACATTAATGAAATTGCTCTAACATCCCCGGAATATAGATTCTTCGGAGACCACATGCTCCTCCCTCCCGGGAAGTTCTTCAGCATGTTCCACTTCCTTGAGTATCCATTCAGCCGTGGATCAACCCATATCGTCTCCCCCAACCCCTACGAAGCGCCAGACTTCGATGCTGGGTTCATGAATGACGCGCGCGATATGGCACCCATGGTCTGGGCATATAAGAAGTCCCGAGAGACCGCACGAAGAATGGACTGCTTTGCGGGTGAGGTCATGTCTATGCACCCACATTTTGCCTACGATTCACCAGCGAGATGTTTTGAGATGGATCTCGAGACAACGAAGGCGTATGCCGGGCCGAACCATCTTTCGGCAGGTATTCAGCACGGAAGTTGGGCTAGGCCGTTGGAGAAGTATGGATATCTCCGCTTCCTTATGACCTGGTTGTGCCACTTTACTGACAGTTTATACAGGGGTAAGCCAGCTCAGGCAAACTTTGTCACCTCCAATCAGACAAGTGTTCGTGAGGATATTGTATACAGCAAGGAGGATGATGAGGTATGGGAATCTCTTGCAGCTCTAAGAAATAACCTTACTAACACTATAAAAAGGCAATTGCAGACTGGGTTAGACATCATGTGGAGACTACCTGGCACAGTCTGGGTACATGCTCTGTACGTATATTATCTCCCTTGACACCCCACAATTGGGCTTGACTAACATGAAACCAGATGGCACCTCGTGAAGGAAACTCAATCGTGAAGCACGGTGTCGTGGACCCCCGCTTGAATGTCTGGGGGACCAAGGGACTCAAATGCGCCGATCTTTCCATCTGCCCTGACAACGTTGGCTGCAACACATACTCTACCGCACTCACCATCGGTGAGAAAGCAGCTATCCTTGTTGCTGAGGACCTTGGATACTCTGGTGACGCGTTGAAGATGCCAGTTCCCGTTTTGCACTTGGGAACATATGAGAAGACCGGGCTGGCACGCCTTTGAGGTTACAAACAAAGCTTACGAATAAACTGGGCGCTTGGGATTCTTTAACCTATTTGGGTGCTACTTTGGACTTTGGACTTTATTTTGTTTGAATATTTTCGTTCATGTATATAATTCATAATGAACGCTTTCTCTCTGACAGCGTGGAAGATGAGGGCTGGGCACAAGACAACTCGTGCCTGCCTTTTCATTGTGAGCTTTTGTTGATCCCATTTGAAAGCGAGCTTTAAGAGCTTTAACGAAAGATACTTACGGTACTCAAAGCCGTTATATACTGTTAATAGAGCCCTTTTGAGTACCCTTATTATTTTAATTGCACTTGCAACACGTAAAGTAGTAAAGGTGTAGAATACCCCTGCGATTGACTGCAAAGCTAGAAGGATGGTCATAATCACAGAAAATCACTCGCCCACCGCTCACAAGCGGACTGGTAGGTACAGCCCTTTTTAACTCTCAACGCTTAACTCTCAACCCTCGACCGCACACCATCCGGGCCTAGGGACCCTTTTCAGTTCCAAGCGCGACAACTCTCACGGTCTCACCTACATATATTTTCGCTTTCTCGACTGTTTATACTTCCCAATGCGTATGCCTGGCAATGGCTCTATCGACCGCCGAAGCTTATGTCAGTCTTCAGCTGCCCCTTGACAACTGATGATAATTTCACACGTCTTCATATTGGGATGCTTCCTATCCGGCCTTATGTATACCAAAAGGGCCTAAATCATTCCGCAACTATATCCAAAAAAAGATTCCCTATTTCATAACTCATAACTCAAATCTCTCTATCCGCTCCGGAATCTTAAATCCGCCCTTCACTAATTTTGTGAAAACACCCATCGGATCATACTCCTTCTGCAACTTCGTAAGGTCATTTACACTCTGCTCGCCATACGAAGCGATGGGGTCTTGATCCTCCGAAGCGTAGTTCAAGTATCTACAAGCCAATCACGTCAGCTCTGGTTCTTTTTGTTTTTCACAATTTCATCTAACTTACTGGAATGGGTGAAGGGAGTCTCTGCGCTTGGCTGCGCGGCTTGACTTGGCAATCATATCCTTACAGATGCTCGTAACTCTACCGTCAAATGTAGCATCGGTCCAGGCGTTGAACCAAAAAACATCTGAGGCGGCCAAGGACTTGTCAATATATATTCAAAATGCGCAATTGGCTTGACTAGAATGCAGACTTACGCATTAGGTTCTTATCATCAGGTTTAAATCCCATAGAGTTCCCCCCTTTCGCAAATCCAGCTGCAATAGCGGTATCTGGGATAGGCACGAATCCAGAAACGGCAGAAACCAAGTATGGCTTCAGGAGCTCCAAAGATTCTTTCCAGATCGTATGAAGCTCTGCCATCAGCTCCTCGTCCTTGGCAATGATAGTTATCGACGAGAGAAACTGCCTAGCTCCTCCCTCCGGGTATCCCACTGCATCAGCAACTTGCGAAGTGCTTTGCATGCTCCCGGTATTCAAAACCATGGGAATATCCGAAAATTTCTTCAGAACTTCAGGGGGGTTATAATTGTCTACGTGGCCATTGTAGTATGCAATGACTGCTGGTGAGACAGTGTCTTCGTCTTTTGTCCATGCAAAAGTTGAGATCAGGTGGGACTTGACGTCCGCAGAGGCTCCTGTGGTGGCATAATTGAAGGCTTCCGAAAGGATTTGGGGCGCTTTGTCTTCATTGTAGATGTACATCCCGCCATAAACCTCTGAGTTGTGAGGATAGGTGTATAAATCGAAGTTCGTAATAATTCCGAAGTTGCTTGGCCCAGCACCTTTCAGGCCCCTGAATAGTTCTGGATGGGATTCGGCATTTACTTGGAGAATATTGCCAGCTGCGGTCACGATCTAACGAATGCTTGTCAGTACCAATGGTTAAGGGTTCAGGTTCAAACATACTTCGAAGTTCTTGACACTGTCGCAAGCAAATCCGTGCTCAGAGGTCAACCACGTCAGTCCTCCTATTTTCGTTCATTAGCAAAACTAGAGCTTCATGGATATTAAAGAACACTCGACTTACCTCCCAATGTCAACCCCGAAACTCCAACGCCGGACAGTCTACCTCCGGCAACTGTCAAATCGTGATCTTCCAGCTGCCTATAGACTTCTCCCCAGCGGTTTCCTGCGCCAACCCTCGCATAGTCATCTTTTACAATGACCTCTCTGAAATTGTCCATAGAGATAAGTACACCGTCGTTGGTACTGGCCCAACCAGGAATACTTGAATGGCCACCTCCGCGAACTGCGAAGGTACAGGAGTCTTGTACAAGAATCTTCATGCCAGTAGCTAGGTCATCTGTTGATTTCGGTGCCAAAACACATGTTGGTGATAGGTTGGCTTGGACAGCTGGGAAAATTATTCAGTCAGAATGAAAACCGAGATACCTATAAGCCATTGCGTTATTCATACCCCAAAATGTGTTCTGAACAGTGTATTCGTTTGAAAAACGAGAGTATACGGCATCTCCGAGGGCATCCTCGAGAATATTGCACTGGATTATTATTGTGGTTAGTGCCAATCTTCAAGGAGTTTCTTTAGAGTTACTCACACAATATGAGCTGTGTCCTACAAAGCCGCTACCATATGCGGCGGGTATAATATTGAATAGCAATGCCTGTGCCCAGATAGGGCCTTTCAAATATTGAACCATCATTGCTCGAAAAGCCTTTTGAGAGTGTGGTGAGTTTACTTTTAAAAATATAGAGTGCTCCTCAAGAGCTCATTATGTAGAGAAAGTGGGCCATAGGGCTTGCCATCTCTGACTTGAGAATTACTGACAGGCCGACGCTTCAATGTGGCATAGAAGGAAAGGTCTAGATCCTCCATCAATATGCTGCCGGTGCACCGAACATGTGGGGTAGGACCAGGGTAATGGTATTCACGAGTCATAAAGTAGATCTGTCTCAGACCAAGAGAATTTAGTTCAGATAAGGGAGACTTTTGTGACCGTTTGAGTCTATTGCAGTAATCCTAAAAGCCATGCAGATCGAAAACAACACGTATTTCTAAGCACCCGCTCTTAGTCACAATCTACTCTATTAAGAATAAATATTCCTGACGTAGCCAACTAATCATAATATAAAGCGGGCGCATTGTAAACTTTTAGTTGGAGCTAGTTAGTTGACTTCCCAATAAGTCTATTTTTGAAAGTTCGTCCAAGGAGTACGTACGCCACCTAACCGTATGAGTTCCGAAAAAGTCATGATATCAGTAAATCGACGGCACAGCTTAGCTTTGCATAATTCCACGTATAGGTACATGCAGAGACAGTGAGGGGTAGAGCGCTCCAGATCTAGGTATCTACCTGTGAGGAAGACCAGCTCTTAAAACTACGAGCAGATCTAAGCCTACTAGGCACCAAATTGACAAATCGGAGAGCTCCCGAGGCGCTGTTTGATAAGAGACTTCGTTGTGAGAGCTCGTCATCAGTTGCCCTGGTTACCATCGGCGCATCAGATCATGCATTGCTGCAGCTGCATAACCAAAACTTAGGATTGTCTCACTATATATCTCAGGCCTCAGTTAGCAAAATAAGAACAATTTGAGGTAATGATTGAGGAGTAGGACAACGAAGAAGTGGATATAATATAAATAAGGAGGAGTCTCCAGTGGCTAGTAGTAACTAGAAGCGAAACTACTCAAATTCCACAAAAAGAGCAGCTACGCAGGTCATGTGGGTCTAACGTCCGTAAGCTGGTCATAAGACACTGGAGCTGCACTGCGTTCAATTAGCAAAACCCTGGAGGATTAAGGTTCACTGAGCGTCGAGTTGGGCTTAAACACCTACATAATTAAGATATGATCTGACCGCCTGCAAAGTAACCTCATGAACTCTGACTCGAGACTAGGGTTAGGGGATTGTAGGCTGCGAACACGCAAATAAAGGGTGTGGTTTGGCCCATAATAAACGCCTACTACTCGAGCGTTCATTAAATGGTCGGATATCGTTGCAACCAAATCCCTACTAAGAATTCCGACCATTTAATAAACGCATGAGTAAACATGCCTCAAAAGACTACATCTATCACATGTTTACTGAAATATGATTTTCTGAACTCCTGAAGCTTTGATTGGTCGAGAGCGACAGGGATGAGTTTATTTAGTCTTGCCTTGATTAGAACACTAACCCTAAAGCGCAAGCTGCGCAACTAAAGAGTTAACACAGGGGTTTGCTCAAATATACGCCGGAGTGATATACGATACGCAGGGAGCCGATCGAATACCTCTTTTGGTTTCTATTCAAAATCCCCCCGTGTTGACCATACACCCGTGAAGGAGTCTACTACATGTAAATATTGGTGGAGGCTGTATTTCAGCTACATTTCCTATAGGTCCTTAAACAATTATACGTAGCACCACCTCTGAATTACCCCCAGCCTATATCTACAGAACAACCTGCCAGAAAAAACTCCCCTTGCAAATCAGAACCAGACAATCCTACATTCCTCCCTTGAACAAAGAAAGAAAAAAGCTATTCCCATTCCCAAGAAAGTGAACTCTCAAACCAAAAGAAAAAGAAAAGAGAAAGTAAAGGAATAATGCTATGCTAAAGTGATGATATTTTAAAAGTGAAAAGTGACGTGACTATGAAAAGAAAGACCAACACCTCGAAGATTTACAATCTCTGCAAATACGGAAACCCTGCCATTGACTCGTAAAATTCACTTTATGCCCCGCTTAATACAAAGTAAAAATGGATATAAAAACAAACGCTCTGCAGCAACAGTATGAATAAACTCGCCCATTACCCAACGGATCACGCCTAGTCTCTTGAGTTAAGGAGACATGAAACATTAAACACTATCACCTTCTATAATATCCCATATCCTGCGGACCTTGATGATGATAATCCCGTGGTTGCGAAGGCGGTGGCGTGTGCGAATAATGCGGAGGCGGCTGCTGTTGCTGTTGCTGCAACTGATGTTGATGCCCCAACGACCCCTGGTGCTGCTGGGGGTGCTGCTGTTGGGGAGCAGGCTGATGTGGGTGGTGCGGATGTGGATGCGGATGCGGATGCGGATGCTGCGGCTGCGGCTGCTGTTGCTGCTGCTGCTGCTGCTGTTGCTGCTGCTGCTGTTGCTGCTGCTGTTGTTGCTGCTGTTGCTGCTGCTGCTGCTGTTGCCCATGAGGATGATGTTGATGATGCGACGAAGTGGTGATCGGCGGCGGAGCGTATGGACCACCTCCGCCCCGTGAGTATGATGAAGGGGAGAACGTAGCTGGCCTCTGCGGCGGTTGGTTTACATAGTGACCACGGTACAGAGGCGTTTGTGGCTGCTGTTGGTGTGGCAACGATTGTCTATGTCCCGCTTGAGAGTATACTTGTTGGGGGGCCGGCTCGTTCGAAGGAGTAGAAGGGTATGAACTAGACTCGCGTAAAGAGCTAGATTCACGCACAGACGCATATGGGTTGAGCTCTCTATCTCTGGGCGGAGGTGGTGGTGGCGGCGGAGGAGGATTGTAAGGATTTTCACGAATCGGGGGGGGTGTTGAGTACGGCGATACTCGAGGGATTGAGTGATTCTGCGGTCTAGACTGACTCGGTATCCCGATAGTGTGATTTCCTCCTCCTGGCATCATTGGCAGCAGCTGTGTCGCCGGCGGCTGGCGACTATCACGGAGCTGCTCATACCTCATCTCTTGCCTTGGCGGTTCTCTATGCTGTGTATGCAAAGGCTGCGACTGCGATTGCGGCTGTGGATGTTGCAGTTGAGAATTCTGAGGCTGGGAGTGTTGATGCTGTTGAGGCAGATATTGTGGCGCATGTTGGGGCTGCGGATGCTGAAGCTGCGAGGGTTGCTGCTGCTGCTGCTGCTGCTGCTGCTGATGGTGATCTTGCTGCTGCTGGGGAGTCTGCGGCCTTGTTTGCGATCTAGGTTGCTGGGCAAAGTATGTTGACCCACTCTGTGGCCGTGGCTGCGGCGGCTCCTCTTTCGGATTAAGCAACGAGTCGATACTTGTCAGCCGTTTTGATGATGGCCCTGGAGGCGGGGTAGGATTTGTCGGTGGTTGATGTGTTTGAGGACGTGAAGGTTGATGCTGAGGAGGCCCAGACAAAGGTGGTTGATATCCAGCGGAAAGTTGGTGGATTGTCGAGGGTGCTGACGTTGGGCGAGGGACAGAAGCCTGTAGCTGTGGATGCGCAGTGTGTGCTTGCCTCTGTTCCATCACAGGAGGATTTTGATGCCTCTGTTCCACGCCAGGAGGTTCACGTCGTCTTTGCTCCATGATGGCAGGATTATGATGTCTTTGTTCCATAGCAGAAGGATTCTGGCGCCTGTGATCCATGGGGGCATTCTGATGTCTGTGCTCCATAGTCGGGGGGCCTTGATGCCTCTGTTCCATAGGAGGTGGGTTTTGATGCCTCTGTTCCACAACAGGAGGGTTGTGCTGTCTTTGCTCCAAGACAGCAGCATTCGGATGTCTCTGCTCCATAGCCGGGGGGTTCTGGTGTCTATGATCAACTGTTGGCCCAGTGATGGGTGAATGAATAGATCTCTGGTGGGGATGGGGCTGGGGCGCGGTGATAAAGGACGGCTGCGACGACAAAGAGGACGGTTGGGAATGCGTTCGCTGATGAAAATATCCATGCTGCTGCTGATGCTGAGACTGAATCTGTTGCTGCTGCTGGGCTTGCCCCTGGATTTTCTGCTGAATGACCGGGTTCTGCTGCGATAAAGACCTCGCATGTCCGTGAGAGTGCGGTGCTGTGGGGTGCTGAGGAGTGACCGGAGGAGTTTGATGTGATCGTTCCTGATATCTATCCGAAGGTGGTGGCGGTGCCCTTTCTTGCACCCTTTCCTGGGGCCTCTCCGTCATCCTATCAACCATCCGCTCCTGCATCGACATGTGCTGTTCGGGCATCCTTTCAACGGGCATCCTTTCAACGGGCATCCTTTCAACCGGCATCCTTTCAACGGGCATCCTTTCAACCGGCATCCGATCAGACATCCTTTCAACCGGCATCCTTTCAACGGGCATCCGATCAGACATCCTTTCATGCAAATTCCTATCATGGGACCCCCCGATCGGTCCCCCTACATAGATTTCACGCCTTTCCTGTGCTCTCTCTGGTAACCTCTCCTGGGGCCTCTCCGTCATCCTATCAGCCATCCGCTCTTGCATCGACATGCGCTGTTCGGGAATCCTTTCAACGGGCATCCTTTCAACGGGCATCCTTTCAACGGGCATCCTTTCAACCGGCATCCTTTCAACCGGCATCCTTTCAACCGGCATCCTTTCAACAGGCATCCGATCAGACATCCTTTCCTGCAAATTCCTATCGTGGGACCCCCCGATCGGCCTCTCTACATACGATTCACGCCTTTCTTGTGCTCTCTCCGGTAACCTCTCCTGGGGCCTCTCAAGCGGCATCTCGTGTGCCCTCTCCTGCAGTGGCGGAATCCGTTCGGACCTCTGCTCAGGTATTCTTTCAGCAATGGGCCGATCAGGATTTCTCTCCTGTATGTGCCTATCAGGTGGTCTTTCAATAGCTCTCTCCACAAAATCACGCCCTCCCCGAGCTCTCTCCTGCGGCCTTTCCGGTGCTCTCTCGAATGGCGTCTCATGTGTTCTCGGATGAGGCCCGTCTGAAAATTTCTCCGCCATTCTCTCCTGCTGTCCTCTTTCCGGGAGTCTCTCATGTACCCTACTAGCGTTTGACCCCCCCCGAAATCCCTCGGGCCTTTCTTGCGACCTCTCAATTGACATTTCGACTTGCCTGCCCATCGGATTTTCCATCCGAACTGGGACTGACACAGGCACAGGTCGTTGTTGGATGGAAGGATGGGGAGGATTAGATGCAGAGTGAGGCCGTCTAATAGGCGTCTCCACCGGTTTCATGGACTGAGGTGTGGCTGGTTGCGAGTGTAGCTGCGGTGGCGCTATTGGCTGCATTATCGGTTGTTGAGCCCTGACCACAACTTCTTCCTTGATGGCAACAGGTGTTTGAGATGGAGCAGCGGGTCCTTGCACCGGGGCAGCAGGCTGCACATGCACCTGCACCTGCACCTGCACTGGCATCGGCATCTGGATTGGTATAGGTGTAGGAGTACTAGGAAGCGAAGACATAGTAGATGGCCCTGGTGTCCCCGTTGAGCCTGGTGGTGGCGGCGTCGCTGAGGGATCCGCATTTGATATGATCATTCTCGGCGTCGAAACCGTCGTCTCGTATCGCTTCTTCGGTAATGCAGCCGGTGGAGGGGGGTCTGGCATAACCTCTCCAGCCTTGATTTTACGGTCTGCGCTCTCGGCGATTTCCTTATACTCGCTTTTACCATTCTCGACTTGTCTAGTATAGAAATTTCGCACCTATGAGTGGATAATTAGCAGTTTCATCATTGAGAGAGGTACACGTGAGAAATGTCAAGAATTTGTTTAGCTCACCATCACAGTTGTTTTCGACGCTAGCCTTAAACTAATCTGAGGCCAATTCGTGCCAAAGGACGCCAACAAATGAGGGAAATCACTTTGCTCCGGCACACTCCAATAACTCGAGGTTTGCGCAATTGGTTTCTCCGCTCGGTCACCCTTATCTTTTTTCGGGGTTGGTGTAGTCGGTAAAGGTATGGGAGGCGTTGTGGGAAGAGTAGGAGGCTGTTGAAGTGGTGTAGGTGGTTGCTCGGCCAATTGGTTCTGGTTAGGCTGCTGAATGATTAAAGGATTATTGTCTTCTATAATCATAGGCTCTGACAATATCTCGAGGGCCATTCCCATCCCGGTCAGTGCGGAGACAGCGTCAGACTCTCTCTCTCGAAGATCCTCCTTCTTCTTCTCTTCCTTCTTCTCGACTTTTTCAGGAACGGGGGCCAAAACGGGTTGAATAGGAGCGGGTAGTGCGGGCTGAACAGGTGGATTAGCTGGTGCCTTGACTCTCTTCTGTTTCTCTCGCCCTGCGTTGTTACCACCTCTGGCCCGCTTTGTGCCTCTCTCAGTTTTCTCCCCATCATCATCGCCGCCCTTTGATTCTCTACCACCTCTCTTGCCGTTCGTACCCAATAACTCTAGGTCAAGATTGTTGTTATTGTTGTTGTTGTTATTCGCGTCGGCGCCAAAAACTGGCGCAGCAGCCCGTTTTGGTCTTCCTGTCTCGGTCATTGCGGCGGGGGTAACGTCTTCTGAATCAGCACCTTCATCTTCTTCCCCAACTCCGCTTCTCCGGCCAAGGTCTGCAATTAAAGCGCTTTGCCTCGTCCTCTGACTACTCGCCGCCTTTCTCCTCCCTTTCGTCCTCCCTCTCTTACCGGGTCCTCTGACAAGCTCTTTGTAAATGCATGTTTTCTTGGTCATGTAATAGTGGAGTATACACGCCTTGAAGTCCCGGCCTTCGATTTCTTGGGCAATCTTACCCCATTGTTTGGGAAACATCGTATACCTTTCACAAAAGAGCTTGTGCTCGCTATCAGACCAGTCATCAGCCGGGACATCGTACCTGAATGCCGTCAATATTTCATCATCAGTTCTCAGCAGTCTGTTTGTGTCTTTGAAGATCAAGAGCTCCGTGGGATCCATAATCATATCTGGAACGACAGCTTCCCGCGCGTTTTGGTCCTTTGATCTAGTGTCAGCGGATTTTTGTTGCTCCTCTTCGGCTAGACCCTTGAGAACCTGTTGCATCTCAGCTTCACTCCTGACTACATCTGATGGAGCACTTCTCCCCGCGCGCCTTCCAACCGTCTCCGGAGCCACAGTTCCCGCGAGCACAGGCGATACTCCAATTTCTGCTGGTTCGGAGGTGCCCTTTTTCTTCCGGATAGATTCCTTGTCCATTTCACGGCACTCGCTGTACCATGTTTCGAATAAGTCTTTGAACTTGCGTTTTAACTTGGTTTCCTTCTCGAAAGAAGTCTTTCTCTCTTCAGAGATGTGAGCAACGATTAGGTCCCTAATACTTTCGTGATGTTCAATATTTTCCTGATAAAAGTCATACTCCGATGGCTTCATCTGGGGGCCAGGGCGGTAGAAAGGCAGATCAGGGTGCAGTAGATGCCTTGCATTATTCTGAAGTGACTCATCAGACTCGGTTTCGATTGAGGCTACTGAAGTTGGCGAATTAGAGGCTGAAGGCGTTCGGGGCGGTGAAATAGATGGCGTTCGCAACGCACTCTCCGAATGATCAAACTCTATCTCGTGTTGACTTTGCTGTTTCTGCTGCTGGTGGAGTTGCTGTTGTAACTGCAATTCAACTCTCTCTTCCTGTTGCCGCTCTTGCTGTTCGTTCTGCTCCTCTTGCTGTTGCTGTTGCTGCTTCTGTTCAAGAAACTCGAGCTTCTCTTGCATATCGTGGTCTTCCTCCATTGACTGTTCTGGGTTTTCCGGCTCTGGTTTATCTAACTCCATCTCGGCCATTTGCTCAACGGGTGTCTTTATCTCTGGTTCCATGGTTCTAGGAGATCTTTCAGCTTCTGTCTTTGCAGCATGTTCAATCTCCTTATCTATTCGGGCAATCTCAGCAGCATGATGAGCCTTCTTTTTCCCGAGCTCAGTGACCTTTTTCTCGAGAGCCTCAATATCCTTATCGATCTCAGTAATTTTAAATCTCACGTCTTCCTGGGTCAACACCAAATCGTCCTCCTCATCTTCGGGGTCCTCCTCAATTTTTATTATCGGGGTCTGTGGAGGCGGCGGCGGTTTCTCCGGAGTTGGCTCTCTCTTTTCTGGCACGGATTTCGGAGCCTCGGGCATTTCCACCTCTCTATTCTCCTTGACTGGTGTTTCCGGTTTCTTCTCCTCTTTTGGCCTAACATGCGAATGAGCATCAGCCATTTCTACATCTTCCCTAGCAGCAGGCCTTTCTGCTTCCATGCCAGTTCGAGAATTCCTTCTGCCTCTGCCTATCCCCATATCCCTCATACTGTTGTTCATCATGCCCATATTACCCCCGCGTCCATTTCTATGCCCCATGAACCCGCCATCGTCAACTTCTCGTTTGACAATTGGACCTCCGAAACTGGAACCTCTATAATTTCGTCCTCCTCGCCAATATGCGCCACCTCTAGGGGTTTGCAAAGCCCTTGGCGCGGTAGGTGGTTGAATTACTTTTGTTGGACTATTACTGATGCCTGCGGGGGCTGTGGGTGTGGGTTGTACAGAGCCGACTGTATTGCCATATCCAGATCCACCGACGGGATTGAGGATATTCCTGAAACCCTGACCTGATGGTGCTGGGCCCGGCCTAAACGGAACTGATGGGGATGCACTTGGGGGCCGTTGTGAAGAAGGGTGAGATGGAGTGCTCCAAACCTCACTGGAAGCGTTGGGCCCGGAATCAACATTTACAAATGATGATGGTTGCTCTGGAATATGCTGTGAAACCTGATTGTGAGCCCTATCTCGGTCATCCTCGCCCTTAACAGCGGTCTCGATTTCTCTCATCCTATCCGGGTGTACGTGAGCAACATCTGACCTAGTGGGCGCCCCTGCAGTAGTGGGTGTCTTTAAAGGCGTTGATTGTGGCTGCATCTGAGAGTGGAGATGATGTGGCTGTGTTGGAGGAGCATTATTCCATACGTGCTCTACAGATGCCCCCCTCTCCTTCGAACCCCACTTCCTATCTACTTCCTTACGATTTTCCCGGTCTATGCCTGCCCTTGGTCCGGTAGGAGGAAGACCTCTAGGCCCAGTAGGCGGAAGAGCCCCTGTACCAAGCCTAGGACCTGAGGGTGGCTGCGAGGGCGGTGGAGGTGGTGAGTACGGTTTGGTTGCAGAGAGGGGTGTTATTGCAGTGCCCAAAGTATTCGTTGTGGATGGTGTAGATACTTTTATCTCTGTTGAAGAAGAAGGTGAATGCAGTTTTCCATCTTCCGTTGGCTCCTTTTTTGGTTGTGGGACACGATCATTACGAGTATCTAGACGGTAGTCTACCTTTCCGTTGACGTCTCTCTCGGTTTTTTCCTTTTCGTGATCTTTATCCCTGTCACGATACATGGCCATAGGTGGCAACACATTATTACCGCCTCCCATTCCACTGATGGATCTTCGTGGTTGTGGAGGATTCCACTGTCCGGGTGTGCTAGAGTTATTACCACCCTGGTAAGGCTGTATTCGATTCTGTGCTTGCTGAGATGCTGAATAAGAGCTGGGTCCCGTTGGGCCCGTGGTTGGTTGATAGCCTCCATGGTATGCTGGAACTGGCGGCGGCGGGGTGCCAGAGGGTACTGGATTAGGCGCGGAGCTCGAAAACCTAGCTCGTTCAGCTTCACGGTTGCGATTATATCTATACCGAGAGCAGTGTGGAGAAGGCAATCGGGATTAGCCATCCCATTCCCAAGAGAAGACAGGATTTGAATGCAACAAACAGAATGGACGGCTGGATGGCTAGAAGAAAAAAGAGAAAAATTGGGATGGCAAGCCCAGAAAAATGAAATAAAGATTACGCGCAAAACAAAAGAGACAATGGAAAAAGTTGTTATACTCACTCTGCAGCATCCCGCTCTCTTTTTTCGCGTTCTCTCTCTCCACGGCTAGCTCTTTGTTCCAGCGGGCTCGGGTCATAGACCTCCCTAGCTCTCTCCGCAGCCCTAGGCTCTCTAGGTTCTCGATCAGCCTTATATGGTGGTCTTTCACGCTCTCGATCACGTTCCCGTTCGCGATCTCTTTCTCGCTCTCTTTCTAGCCTCTCTCTTTCGAATGTAGACCTCCTATCTCCTGCAAACCCGCCCCGATCCGACCTACTATCTCTGTCCCCTCTTCCACTTGAATAAACCGACATCCCTCTCTCCCTCTCTCGAGAGGATGACCTAGCCCTATGCTGAAACGTCTCTCTTTCTCGAGACCTGCCTCTATACCCGCCACGTCCGTCCCTAAAATCTCGGTCTCGATCTCTGAAACCTGGACCTCCGAACGCTCCACCTCCTCGGGAACCATAATCACTCCCTCCGCCACGGCCATACTCGGTATATTCCCTTTCCCGGCTTCGACCTCTACCGCCTCTTCCAATCCCCCCTTGCTCCCATTCACTTGATCTCCGCCTTCCTCCACGATATATCCTATCACTATCGTTTGACGTTGCGTATGTCGAAAAGACCGGTCCCCCTGAAGTGGTTACACCTCCTGGTCCAGGCGCCGACACGGGAGATCGACTCTGCCCTGCCGATGGCATTGCAGGAACCCCTCTTCCAAGTGCTCCACGAGGCCCAGGAGGCGGGACCGACCCTCGGGATGAAGACCCCTGTCCACCCGCTTGGGGGTAGTGATGCCCGTGCCCTCCATGATGAGGTGACAATGTAGCCGAAGACATAGAAAATGATGATTTATGCGGCGAATGTGTAGGGGGGCCACCATTCCCGCCTGTACCACCAGCAATGCCCGATGATGCCAGAATAGGAGGATTATATAAAGCCTTTGGTCCCTTCGGAACATTATGAGGAAATTCGCGTGCAGGCGCCTCACTTGTGCGTGCTGGGGGTGCTACATAAGCTAGATGAGGATCCCGACCGAATTGAGGGGTTGATGGAGGAGGTTGGTGAGTCGATACTGAGGGCCTTCGCCCGAATGGTGAGGTAGGGCGTGACCCCGCCGGAGGATCCCGGCGAGAACTCATATTATACGTTATACGCTGCTATATTGTGATAAAAAAAACGATGGTTTGAAATTCGAGGGTTTCCTTTTATCGGTAAGTAGATATTATTGGATTTCCTGATGATGGAGGTATGACGTTGTGGTATTGGCGTGGCACTATAAATTCCTGTGGGGTTGTCGTGGTTTTGTCTCCTGGCGTTGATGTTGTTAGCTTCAAGGCCCTCAAGATTGAAATTTAATAATGCATACAATATTTTGATTTCTAGCCTGGAAACTCAATTCTGTGGTATAAAACAGATTGCTTACAGAAACCCAATCAAAAACGCTGAAAGATGGTACGAATAGAAACTAAAATAGAAAAGTTCGAGGACAACAAAGACCGGCGGCGGCGTCCGAGGGCAGCGTTGCAAGAGAGGCTGAAATTCAAGATATCGAAAATGAAGATGTAGAAAAGATGCCCACAATCACTGGGACTACGGATGAGCGAGTGAGTTGGTTGGATCAGTTGAATCTTAGAGTGAGATACACGATGAAACCGGTATATCCTGGTTGCCTGCTGGAGTGGCTCCGTCGTCCGGGTGATTAATCCCTTTCCTTATAACAACCCTTCACGATGTATAGATTGACGCGTTGATGAATAGACCCCTTTCCTTGCTCCTATTCCGTCTCGAATAACCCTTTCGTTCTTTTGGTTTTCTTTATCCCTGTTTTTCCTTTGCTGTGTTGATGGTTTCCTTGATATAATGATTCCCTTCTTCCTCTAATGCTGTTGCACAACACGGCTTCAAGAAACCCAGATTCTTCAAATGGAGTCGTTTTCCTTCCGTCGTCAGTCGCGTTTTCGCTATATAATTCCCTTCCGCAGACCAGCTCTACACACAGGGGGGTGGGTGGGAGAGGGGGTGGGCGGAGAAGAATTGAAGGTTGCAGAAACAGAGGGCAGCAAGTCAGTCAGACGAGAGTTGTACGGCGGCTCCCTCAAAAGGCGAAAGGGCAAGAGAGGTTTCTCGGGAGGTCGCCAAGGAATAGGCCAGACCCAATCAATCTCGCAACCACACCACCGAGCCCCCGGTTACACTCGAATGTCTCACCTAGCACACACCCTTCCCTCTTCTTCAAAAGAAGTGTGTCCTGTTTCCACACCAGAACTGGAAGGGGAAAAGTAAAGGAGCTTGACATGGATGGGGCAGCAGAACGGAGCAGAGAAAAGGAAGCAGACATCAACATTCCCGCCACATACTCTGCCTACCCTTAATGCCCGCCCCACAAAGCCCCGCCGCCATACCAGACTTGGGAACGCCCCTGGCTTTGATAGAGGCTGAAGAATGTTGCGTTTCAGTCTTCCGACGTTGATTGGGGGCCTGATGAAGGAAATTGAAGGGAAAACAACATTCTCCTAGAAGGAAGTTCCACCGCTTCCTATCGTACCTGTACCCATCTGGATGACTCGGAGAGCCATATATACAAAGTACTTATGTGTGAAAAGTACATATATCCAGCGGCCAACCTATCAAACTATTCCGTGGTAGCAGTTCTTCTCGAGCAGGTCGAGCACATAAAATAGCTAGAGTGTTCTGCGTACCACCAGTAGATAGATACACCACACAAACGTAGCCTTCTCACTCCGGGATGCAGCATCACGCAACCGAACACGATGAAACGACCAACCCCAACCAATCAACCACGTTTTACAGTCACCTTCGACAAACGATGAACTGTCATCCCATGGAATATTTCAGGAAAATGAGCTCCCACTGAGTCGAGATATCGTTGACAATTACATATATCCAAGGTGAACAGGAGTACCTACAGGGTTCCTCTATTTCTGCATTTTGCCACCGGTTCTCTTCTGCAAGCACGCACACCCACAACTCATCCACCCTTGTTATTCCCGATCTTGGGAGATTTCTGGATGGTTCGTTTAGAGACTAGCCCGCCTTGTGTCTAAACTGTAATAATATTAGGGTAAGGCTAGCTTTCCTGAGAAAGACACTTTTTGTCTGCCGAATTGAAACTCCAGCCATAACTACACTTTCGCAGTGCTGCACTACCATCCCTCGGCATTGATTTCCTACTCCCCTATATACTTTTCACCAGAAGTAGAGTGTGCGTGAAAACACTCGTATCACCGCTCGCGGCGAGGCGTAACTTATGTAAAGCACCTCAAGCACTCTAGCATGTTCTTTTGGTAGGCGACGCAGACACCGTTTATACTTTTTTAGAGTACACACGTGTCGTTGTTGGGTCGGGGAACGTTAAGGGGCAGGCCGCAACCTGATTCCATTCCTCGTATTGACGAATTTTGTAGGTGCATCTACGATAGGCGCTACCTACACCACCTACACCTAGATAAAGTACATACTGTAGCCTGTAGGTATTCCATTTCGTGGGAGTCTTGGCTTGCATACGTCGAGAGCAGCAGAAAAACCCAACCATGGTGTGAGTCTGTATCAAGGTCGGTACCCATCAAGAAAGAATGAGGGTCATCTCTATCCTACGAACAACGCCCGCTTAGAGAGTGCTATTCAACGGGTCGTCGTCGTTGTTTCAATGCCTAAAATCAAAAACGCCATAACGGGTTCGCGCGCACCGCCGAGAACATTATGTGAAACGAGCCGAACCAGCGATGCAGGAAATGTGCAGGGTTATTGGGGAGGGATAAACCTCTGTGCACGGACATGGTGTGTGACATTGGGCAACTTGAGACTTGTCGAAGCGATGATGCCGTGCTAGATTTGTTCGAGAAAGCTCAGGGCCTGCCGGATAGAAGTGCTCGTAGAGGAGAGGGGAAGTTACAATACTGTAGAGTACATAACTAAGATTCTTGCCGCCGATACGAATAGAGCGAATTTACAGGCTGTTTTTAGGTCTAAGGAAGGAACTTGAACAGAACATCTTGAGGGACGGTTCAGCCACGTGGAATGAGTTCTGCATGTATGCCGACGTACAGAAGACCTTGAATCTGATAAGATCTTTCAGATACGAGTTATGAATATGCAGGGGTTCAGGTGCTCTGCGACATGGCTTGGCCAAACTATCATGATCCGAGCGGGCCTACCGACCTGAATGATGCTTAAGTTGAAGTTCCAGGCTAATCACCAGCCATTTAGTGAAAGCCGTACATACATGACAACTGCCGAGTTCGACCTAAACTTGCGAGATAACCTCGGCAAAATACTGACACATAATTAATTCTCTTCTTTGCATTTGCCGTCTTCTCTACGTGTCTTAAAGCACTATGGATTGTAATTTTTTGGACTTTGATATTTACCTTAGAACTCAAGTCTATCTACGGATTAGACGTTAAATCTATACTGTCGTCGACGCTGACCTGGCCCTTAATTTCTTTTCGCTCACAGTACTTTCAGCCGGGTGGTTCCTCTATTTGAAACTTTCTGGTTGGGACAACCCTCAGGCCCATGCTCATGAAGCATCCCCAGCTCTAGATCCTGGTCTATATGTATAACCATCCAGAAAGATACAGTTTCGAGACGTTATCTCTTATGCTGCAAAGAAATGAGCCCTTATTTATTATAAGTGAGTGTGATAATAAGTGGCATCACTGCTTCCAGCCTATCGAGCTTGACACCTTGACCTGGCCAATCTCAACGGTCGAGGTAGTTGGCATTAGCAATGGAATAGTTTTATCCTTGGGAAAACCCACAAGGGCACCAAAACCACTAGAGCCTCTTCATATAAGTTACTCTAGCAAGATCATCTCATGATCTTTTCTTCCTTTTCAGTTTACTGGTTGATCAAATAATTATGGTAGTTTAGCTATAGTACTTCCGTATATTCATACTAGCCCTTCGTATAAACACGGGAATCATTGATGGTTCTCCCCCAACCCGGGCGGTTCCACTACTGGATAGCAGCTTGACTTAAATCTTTATCGGAAGCCAAATTCAGAGTATCTGGTTCAAATTTCACCGTGATTCTTTTGGTCGGCTTTATTTCGCTTCCATGCTAAACCAGCTCGAGCCGTTGGGGTTGCCGTAACGGTGGCAGTGACGGCGAGGCTAAAACCCAACCGACCACGCCAATCATTATGAAAATAGATATGAACCTTTTTAACACATATTGACCTCCTTTTATATTCTGCCGATTCTTTTCTGGTCGCGAATGTTGATATGGGTATAGAAGGAAAAGAGAGGGACGGGGCCAGGCTTGTGGTGGGAAGGGAATGGTGTCTAGATCTATATAGGAGGGTAATTACATGAACATATACGTCATGTAGACATGCCGGTCGTTGAGATCGTACATGCGGTGCTGCGTGTTATCAACCTCTTACATATATATACTCAATGAATTCACTACACGTACTATTATGTTACCCTCTTCTAAGCATACATGATGTCGACGTAAGTTCAGTTGAGAGCTGCTTGGTTCGCGTATAAGTTCATTAATGTGATTATATCTGGAAGCCCCTCTATGAACGACGGTGAGAGGCCTGCGAGCATTAAGGAACTTCGATATCATAAGAGTAACCCTGAGCAAATCGAGTGATAATCTATGATTAGAGCTTAACTTTTTTTGTTTTTTTTTGTTTAATTCATTAATTGTATGCAGATTAGAGCTTAACTGATACCCCCATATGATTTATCAAGCGTCCTTAATTCATGACACAAAACTAACTTTCAATCTAGCTAGTTAATGTGTGATTAGTCGGTCGAGCGAACTTAATCTCTTATCAGATCGACCTAAGTCTTTTATATAATTTACAGCATCAAGACCTAAATTGAAATACCTTAGCTAGTACTAGGGAAATCATCCCCTGTCCCTCTAAATTACGCCTAATCAAGCGCGTATACTTAGACGAAGAATAACACTTAGACGAAGAATAACACTTAGACGAAGAATAACACTTAGACGAAGAATAACACTTAGACGAAGAATAACACCAGCCTAACTTGACTACAGAAATCGAACAAAACATCCTGTTTAACATCACGTCATCGATCGGGTCCAGCTCACATGGCTGATAGTTCGATCAAAACTATTCAACTTCATAGCTGCTTGATCGCACGAATATATTCTTCTCACGATTTGTTACCTAAATAAAAGTCTTCAGTTTAGGGAAGCTACCTCAGTCTCTTCAAACCTACATGTATGTACTCTGTACATACTATATCCCAGCCAGTATTCCAAATAACTAAGCAGAATCAGTTACTCACACAGTACATATCAGTGTAATGTGAAGAGACATCTGATCCTGGGAATTTTCTCAAATCTGTATTACGAGGGGCAGCTTGGTCCTCCTGAGCTCGAGCTCGAGCCTGAACCGGCTTGAGCTTATGTCTGCTCTAGTCCTTTGACGAAGATAAACTATCCCCGAATATTCATGGCCAGACAGCTGATTGTCCTTTCACGCACACTCCTGTATAGACCGTTGCTTTTCACTATCTCCCCATTTCCGGAAGCCTGTCCATTTCCTACTAGTAGGCCCACATCCCCACAAAGCTGGTTGATCCTCTGTCATGGCTCTACGCTTATTAAGAATACCAGGTGGAAGTACAATACCAACAGAGATTTCACTCATGAGAACAGATTCATGTCCGGATCTAGTACTTCGTTGACGTCCTACCAATAGCTAGACACTGTGATTTAACAGGCGTATTGATTAATGCGATCATTCACCACAGAAATACGGCTTCATGCAGCGTCATTTTATTTCCAGTAACTTTATTCAGCACCGTTGTCATCACAAATCATGGGTACAAAATATACAAGCATTGCGGTTTAAATCCTTTATCATTAATTCATCATCATGTGTCGTTATCATTTCTACTTCTATGATCTACAAAGGAAAGAAAAATTAAGCATGGATGCCAGCAACCATTTTGTCGCCAACGGGCGCCAGAGAATCCTCAAATTCTTCAAAGGACGACGCACTCCTGTAATATGTTAGAAAGCCCACCAGCGATCAATGAACAGATTGGATGGAGTTATTTACCAATGGGCAGCATCCTTGCAATCAGCATCCTTCCCTGGGAAGGCAAGATACAGAACATCATGCTGGTTGTGCCCACTGTTTCCTGTCATGGAATCTCCAAAGCAGGCAGTTGCTAACGAAATGCTAGCCTCTCCGACCTGATCAGCAGCATTGCTATCCCCCCAAATACCGTAGAACTAGGATTCAATTAGCACATGTAATAGCTATAGATTTAGGAAAATATGAAAATACCATTTTATCTCCGCAGATAACCGCTACCAAGCTCAAGGGCTCGATTCCTACACTCTGGGGGTTGAAGTTGTGGTTTCCCAGGACGACAAAGCTATGCTTGTTGGAGTCTAAGTCGGAGAGACCGTGCTTCACGACCTCGCCTACAAAGCTTGTAATGCTCTGACCACTCGGATCATTGGCACACTTTCCATGGCTATTATTGGCGCCGTCGCAATCAATATCCATATCGGCGAGGCCACTGGGGGCAGCGATCCACATCACGGTATGGTCTTTATCAACGCAGTAGTTAGATTCACCAGAGTACGCTCCTTGGGAGAAACCTTTGGCGACGGCAACGGGGCATAGGCCATCTTTGACTTTATTGTAAAACTCTCGGACATTTGGAGGCACCGAGCGAGCGTGGGTGAGGGTGAGGAGGGCGAAAAGGAGAATGGTAATAATAGTATTAGAAATCATATTGAAAAGAGTGTATAAGATTTTCGGTCAAGTGAGGGTGTTTATTTCGATGAGTATATATGGCGGGGCGGATGGGTGGATAGGCGGTTATTGATCAAGTATCAGTGGGGCGGTTGCCGCTTGGAGGAAAGTATAAGAGTAATGTGAGAAAGATAGTATGGGTGGAGAATTTAATAGTTTGTGAAATGCTTTGTAGGAAGCCTGCTCTCAGCTGTTGGATATCATTTCCTAGCGGTTTGTTCTATACATTTATATATGACAACTTTCTTAGTATTACCCTCGATTATGATACAATAAGATTCAATTCCAAAAGCCATATTTGCCGTCTTGAGCGCGACATTCCTTACCAAAATCTCCATCAGAGGAACAGCAAGCGGCAATACAGCTGCAGGACAAGTTTTAAAAGTGCACTTACAGGCTGAAAAGATATTGCAAAACTAGAGGTCTTTGATATTTGCTTTTCCTCGGGGAAAAAAAGGCGTATGTAAAGACCCCAAAATTCCCAAGGGTGTATGTAAACTAACAAATTGAGCTAGTGACTTAATCTAAATCCTCACTTTTTTTTTTTATTTTTTCATTCAGGACGCATACTTGGCCTACATGCAGTACCCTACTCTACTCTTCATTTTCTTCTCAAAAGAACATTAAGTTTTGAGACTTCGCCCTGCTTGCACGAAATCCTGGACTTTCCCACCAATGTTAACCACATGTATATCTGCAGAACGGCCCGCTGGTATGACAACGTGGTTTTCCACGGTACAGCATCGATCATATCGATGCACAGTTCTCCTACTCTTCTCCGGTGATTGAGATGAGTTAAAGTCATGATTATTATCACGCCCGGCTTTCTACCCATATATAATAATTTAGAACTACTTAACATTGATAATATTGGAGGTTTCCACGGCAATTGAGGATGATGTGATGATTTTCAGGTACCCGTGGCCGATCGTGCCAGCCGTGAGGTAGGTGCTGACCGGAAGATACCCCGGTGATAGCGTTAGATTTCCTGGATCAGTCGACACTATGCACCATAACGCTTGATTACTTCAGGATCTGAAGATAAGCTGTCGTTGAGACCGGATGGTCAGAACTAGAACCCATGTTACACCTACACTTGCCACGTTTGGTAATGACTGTACCTGGATTAGCAGGGGTCATACGTGGGATTACCAAGCTGCAAGATCAGTACCATGGGTTGTTTTTATCCCAGCGAACCCCACTCTTCAATAAGTCAAACCATGCTCTTGGAATGAAGCCCTCGCGAACATTGTCCAATAAACCAACAGAACGCTCATGCAAGGAACTGGGAGCTTCAGGATCGTGGGTTTAGGATGTGTCTTTCTCTTTTGAGCCATTTCATGCCGCAAAAGCTGAACTGCAGCAGGGCAACCTCAAGGTTTGCTGTCCTAAAGTCAACAACTGTATATCCATTCAGTCCATTTTTTTACACTTTCTAACTGCACGTTGCATCATAGATCGTCACTCGAAGCCAAGCCTTCCCCTCCATCATCCTAAAAAGGAATTCTCAGAACGCCACGACCTCTATGATGAAAACGCATACCGTACTACACAATGTACCGAGACTTGTACACTTGTTCCCTGTTCAGTCCTCAAGGCTGGATAAATCCTACATACCTGCTTTCTAAAGAATCGCATCGCATCATCAGGTCGTTCTACTGCATGCCAGCTCGGAATAACCCAGCCATTCTCTGTCCGCTGTGCGGTCGCTCGCCAAAAAAAAATTCGGAGAAGAATACCTACATCAGGTGTGTATTGGATGCTTTTGCGTTTAAGTAATGTACCATGTAGTAGCGGGTGGCCGGTGGAGAAAAATGTCTTGGTTGCAAGCCACAACTTCCCGCAACGATCGAATTGGACCCGGATTTTAGGGCTGAAGCGGTCCCAATGTGTATGGACGAGTGCTGTTCCTGATTTAGCGAGAGTGTCGATCGATACCTCGCTAGAACTTATGTAGGCTCGTGAAACAAATTCTTTCTCTTGCCTGTTTAGCTGCTGCTATACATGTTCGATCCATGAGACAATCATCGACGTGTACACCTGGGAATCGTTACGCTCACAGCAGAATCAGCAGTTAGGGTTTTTACTTTGACTAAGATGTGCTTCAACTTTGTATGGTTCCTGACTGTCCCATATGTTTATCAAGATTTAGATAAGTATCATTCATGAGCTCCGTGGCCATAGGATGGGGCATGCTCGTATTCCAAAATGAGGCTGAACTCCAAGTTGGAAGGTTCCGGTACGTAGGACACTCAATCTGCAAGGTATTACTACATAGTCAGCTCAATGGTGCTAAGTGCATTTCTCGGTAAAATTCGTCTATCCAGGGACCCAGCTGAATTTGTTTTTGGACGGACTGGGCAGTCCGTCAGGCCAGGTACGGCATAGTCATCCAGGAACATAAGGCATCAGTTGCGATCAAAAGATTTTCCCCTTACAATGTATCTTTCTTGAGACAATTCAAGGCGTGGGGGAGGGGTCTAAAAGACAATTATGCTTGCCTTAAAAGTGTTCTTCTGCTTGCCCGTATTGTCGATATTTTCGTTCACGGGGTGTTGGCGGACTGGGTCGTGTTGGCGGACAACAACCAGGAGAGACAGCCAAGCCCAGCTTTTTCTTTGGACAAAAAAATCCCTACCGTTGATACGGTGTCAACCGTGTCCGTAACAGTCCGTCAATAACTACCCTTACTGTACTCCAGCTGCTTGGAATTTCCGTGGTCCTGTGTGCTATTATTGGTACATACATACATCTTGTTGGAGAATGTCTTTCCTATGCTCTCGTGGACTACACCAATACCAGTACAAAATTCACTTCCAAAATAATGTTTGGCATTAGGCATTTGGGCTTATGTTAACTGCAGTGCACTTGATCGGTGGGCTTTCGCATACATACCTATGAATGCGAAGAGGAATTCGAAGAGGAATATTGGGGAAACTACCTTCCAATGTCAAGCCTATTCAATGATGATCTATTAATTACCCCCGGGAGTCCGGACGGGATACCGGGTTCAGTCCGTCCACGAATGTCCGTGAACGGACAACCGGACGCAGTACTTGCATGGTCTGGTTCAAATACTCTAGAAGCACCTCTAATAATCTTGACGAAAAAGGAATCTCTTCTAATACGCGTCTTATATGACCTACGCAGTCACCAATTAAGAGCTGCAACACCTTCTCTACTTCACATGTCACTTTTTTTCCTTTTTTCGCTGTTGATCGCAGTACATACATACCTTCATGTACATACGTGTGTAGGGTACTACGCACTCTGTGCTCAGTGTGGCCTTAGACCATAATGCCAGTTAATGTTCCCGGAGACCCAATTCCTCGGCAAAAGAACGAATGAAAAAAGCGCGCCTCGGCTGTTGACTCCCACCTCAGTCATTGACCTCCCATGTCGACTGCGACGAAAAAAAAATGAATTCAATGCGCCAAACCCGGATCGAACGGGTGACCTTCAGATAGACTTAGACTGATGTACAACTTCAGTCTGACGCTCTCCCAACTGAGCTATTAGCGCTTGATGTTACACTGGCATTGTTTAGTCTTTGTGTTGTTATAACCGGATGTTTCCGCTTGTGCTGGGGTGGTAAACTGCACTAGTAAACGGGGATTAATACTTGGACCCCTCTTACTTACTAACGCTGTTGCGACTAGGGATTCAGAGTGCACCAAGAGCGTATTATTCGATTCAGTTGTTTTGAGTTGTATTATGCTCTACTATTTACAATTCCACCTAGAACGTCTAAACATTGTTAGGAGATCTTTTGAGTCTCTGCCACTGCCATTGCTTGTGTATAATGATATGATCAAGACTCTAACAAAGCTCAAGTCCCGCTATCCTAACTAAATACTTAATGGAAGCTCACTAACATTATCCTACACCCTCCCCCAAAAGTTCATATGTCCAAGGAACAATAGAGAAAGACAAAAAAAAGACAAAAATAAGGGTAAAAAGCAAAATGCCCGAAGCAACACCGCCAGATATCGCCATAACAGAAACAAGAAATAACAAAAAAATCGGAAAACGTCCTTTTACACCAGTAAACATCCCATCATAACAATATCCAGCTAACAAATAACGCATTTCTCTTTCTGCTCGGCCTCAGTTCCAGGTCCTCCTAAACTTGATCGCCTCCCGGGCTGCTGCGCCGAACCACTTGGCGATCCCGCATTACTCGCAATCTCCGAGATGAGATTTCTTGCGGCCTCCGCTCTCCTCTGCCCTGGGGTCATACTAGCTTGGATTCCCGCTGAAGCAGTTGTTGCGCCAAAGCTCGCTCTTCGGCCTCGGCCTTGGCCTGCAGCCAAAGCTTGCTGCTGTTGAATCTGCTGCTGTTGCTGGTATGCAGTCAGCTGAGGCTGCGGCTGCGGCTGCGGCTGGTTTGGATGGCGCTCATATGGCGGCGGCGGAATAGCCTCTGCCCCATCTGCAAGGCGGTGTGTGAACTGCCCCGGGCCTCCAGGGTGCCGTGGGGGTGGTAGAGGAGGGAGACCGCGAGGTTGCCCTCCCATGGACTGGGAGGGCCCGTGACGCCGCTGTCGCTGCTCCGCATCTTGTCGGCTCCGGTAACGTTCATCCTCCTCCTCCTGGAGTTGCATAGCGAGGGCAAGATCTGCATCGTGGTCTACGATATCCCCGGGGGCGGGGGTATGGGTGTCGGTGATGCCGGGGATAGTTTCCCAGCCCTCGTCGGGGTCGAGGAGGGAGCGGACCTCCTGACGTGGTGGTGGTGGCGGCGGCGCGTCGCCGGCGCCGACGGGGCGGAAGTCGCCAGAGAGGAACTCGTTATTACGACCTTGGACGTCTACCATGCGCTCCCATACTACCTCTTCATGTCCCGCAAAGCCCATATCTGTCACCAAGCCCATGAGCGCGTGAGAGTCCCGTCCACCAATTACAGTCATAAAGTGGTCGTTCCGGAATAAAATTGCGACATCACCAGTCTTGAGCCCGCTCTTGACGATCTCGAGCCC